AAACACGTACTCTGGACCTAAATTTTTTTAGATTAGAAGGACAGCGTGTGACATGGTCTTTATATTGCCCTGTTTGTGCTTTCGTGCTGTGGGGAGGGGAGGGGAGGGAAGAAGGAACAGGAGTTGTTCTTTGTGTCACTGAACTGCTGTGCTCCGATTTCCCTCCGCGATCCTGACACCAGAAACCTGTCAGCACAGTGTTTGTGTGATTTCCTTTTCCTTGTTCCAGAAGATAAGTGCGGTATGGACATAAGGTTCATACGGGCTGTTCGTGCAGACTCTTTTCAGGTGACTGGACCGTCTCCCTGTGTGCCGTTGCTGCGGGGAGGAGAGGCCCTTCTCCGGACAGTAGCTGGGCCCAAGTGAGGCCCCCGTTCCAGTGTGCTTTTGGAAGCAGCTGTCTTTTTCCGTTTGCGGTGGTAGAAGCCGATGAGTGACCAGACTCCTTCAACATACGTTACCCCCATGACTACTCCAATGCCTCTCATCCCACATCTCGCTCTAGTTTCTCTGAAGCTGTTGTTTGATTCCCTTGGTGGCTGATGTGAAACTGCGCGTTAACCGTGTTACCAGCTCTTTTAGCAGACTAGAAGAGTGTCGTTAACACAAGCCACTTAAGTGCATTGAAGGTGGTCTTTAAGCCTGAGCAGAAGTCATCCCTCTCACAGTGCACATACCGCAGAACGAAAGGACATTTTCTTACATCACCTCTCTTCCGGTTTCCACTCGTCTCTCCTGCCCCAGGCTGCCTGTAGTAGCATAGAAGTCCTCTGACAACACAGTGCTTTGCCTGGAGTCGGCCTGTGTGGCTAGGCACAAGTGCAGAAAATATCTCGAGAGGGCGAGCGATCCTGTAGGGTGATTCCAGAAGAGATCCCTTGAGGATCAGTGCAACTATTCTTCCAGCCAGATTAGAAAATCACAGCTTTACAGCACAGCTACTTTTCTTGTACATTGTCCTGTGTCTTTTTAGGGTAGCGTGTGCCCAGCTTTATGCTGATTCAGCATTTAAAAGGCAGGTGGTGAAGAAGGGATGGTCATGGTTAGAACAGGTCAGGACTGACAGGTCTTATGGGTCTGTTCCCGGCTTTGGAGCTTGTTTGCAATGTAAGCTGCTCCTTGCTTCCTGTGAAAAGACGGGAAGGAAGCTGCTGTTCATATTTGTCTCCTCTCGGAATATTGAGTGAGTTTGTTCTGAAAATTTAAATTGAAATATTGACTACTTTTAACATTAGACCTCACGAGCTTTATTTTCTTTTTTTTTGAAGGAAATTAGAGCATGGTATATATGCAAAAGCTACATGAATACCACCTACTTGCTATTTTCAAAGTATTAAACACACTTCATACCTTTCTCTGTAATATTAGTTAATAGTGACTTCTGTAGTTAAACAAATGAATTGTTTTTTTTTTACATGTACTGGAATTGTTAGCGTGCAGCCTCTGTGATAATGAAGCTTGGGATTCTTGAATGCTAATGCTGTTGGTCCTTTCCACGCTATCCATAGCCCAGGGCAATTGGTTTGACTCTAGTGTTTTAATTTCCTCTTTTGCAAAAAGAACACTGTAAGCATTATTCCCATTAACTTTTTATTACCATAATTAGTGTCTTCCATGGTTTGTTCCAAACAGCAAAGCATTCTGCTGTTATGTGTCATTCTTTTATGCTAAAACCTAAACTTTTACTGATCCTGGGTGTTCTTCATGTTTAACACTAGTATTTTTCATGCATCTTGGGTTTTGCTACTTTTAGTAACTACCATAAAACAGTGGCTTACAACTAATCTTTAAACATCATGCTGCCTGCTTGCTTTCTGCCCAGCCCTCACGTTCTGTATGTAACTCTGATTTCAATTTGTGAAGGTGAAGCACAGTAATAGCAACATATGTTGATGTTAGTACCACAAAGTTCTCTGCTAGTTTGGTTAGGTTTAGAAAAAAGACAAGAGAATTTATAATCCTGAAAACTTTAATTTTAAACATCACTGGCTCAAAATGTAAACTATTTTAAAATATTGTTATTACAGGCAAAATGCCAGCCCCTGAGCAGACCCCAGTGGTGGAGGAGGGGCTGCCGCAGACAACACAGGAAACTTCCACAGGCCCAGGCATGGAACCAGAGACTACTGCCACTACCATTTTAGCTTCTGTAAAGGAACAGGTATATGCCTTGTTTTCAGCAATTCAGAAACTCAGTATGCATTGTGGAGTTAACTATTGTCTCTTACTGCGTTACTGGGGAAAAAAAAAAAAATGTTTCTAAAATGTGTTGCCTAGCATTAGTATAGTATATTTTGTATATCAGTGTTAGAATCTGAATATAAAGAGTTCATTTAGTTGCATTGAACAGAAGCATCTTTATGGTATTCTGTATCCTTTGGAATGTATGCACTGGTGTTGTAAATCAGACTTGAAATGCAGGTTTATTGTTTAAAAAAGAAAAGCTAGTGTAGAATTGATGCAACATTGAGAACCAGTCCTTTTTGTACGTTCTGCAAAGTTGTGTACAGTGCTACAGAAATTTGCATGTAAAGATTTGGTATGATTAATTGTATTTTGTTAAAGAATAGGTTTTAAACTTTGTGTTTGGATTCAGTTACCAATACCCAAGGTAGTAATATGTGTTAGATCTGCAACACATTTATGGACATGTATCTTAGTGATAGTCTCTAGGGAAAATAAAATTGTGTTTGAAATCCAGTTCAGCCTTAATTTATAAAGATTCAAGGAGGGGAAATTGCAATTTTACAAAGAAACCTTCTAACTAAAGTTTTGGGGTTTGTTTTGTTTTGTTTTTTAAACAAACACGAGAGAGAAGGGATAGTTTGGCTTTCATTGTCAGAACTAGAAATAACGGTCATCTTTCTTGGCTTAATACATAAATTGTAACAGCTGAATTTCAGAATAAGTTTGCTTTGCTGTCTGTTTCGGAGCTTCTTTTAAGATAAGTCAGTACTCGATTCAAGATATTAACTCTGAATGCAAACACTTGATGTATTCTCATATATTGTCCCATATTAGTATTAAAAAAAAAAAAAAGGGTGAGAATTAGATTATATGGTCTTGATCAACAGATTTCATACCCATAGAACCTTCATTCTTAATGAAAATTTTCTGCAGGATGATGAAATTTGGATATTTATTTTAATGCCTAAATTTATAGTTCCAAAAGTACTTTAAGATGACAATAGCAACCCTAATAATTTCTTAGTGATATTAAAACTAATATTAAATCTTCCAGCGCGAAGGATGTTAATGCTGGAGGCTATTGAGATATGAGTAATCATGGTTGTCCAAGTTACAGTGATCTTAAGTCACATCTACTTGTCTGAGGTAGTAGTTTGGCTTGTGCTGTGTTAGCTTATCACAAATGTCAATTAGAACTCATTTGTTTAAAGTACATTTGTGGTGATTTTAAGTTGGTCCATTTTATTTTGCAGTTCACAAAGGCGGCGCTCATAATGGTAGCTTAGTTGGTGAGCAGCGTTGCAGTAAATGACAGTACTGTAATTGCTAGTGATCACCAGCCAATAACCTTATTGCTGGGATTACTGTCCAGAACTACTTTTGTGCAGTTTTGTTGCAATAGTGATTGCCTAACTGAACATACAATTATGACGGCATTGCCTATAATAGCTTGATACAGAAGTATACAGTAAAAAGGCATTTGTTAGCATTCCCTTTCCTATCCAAGAAATGTTTTTATCTTTTTCTTACTCTTAGAGGAAAAAAAATGATAATGGAATATTTCTTCATTTTAAAAAAAGGTTAAAACCTCTTTCCCCTTTCCATTCATAAGATGACTATTCAATATGTGAACTATTAAGTGACTCAATTCTGATGAAAGGAAAAAATGAAATTAAAATTGTGTTTAATGGTGAAATGCAAGCTTTAGAACTGTAGCCTAACTTTAAAATGTATAGACACATTGAAATGAATACAAGGGGGTGGAAGATGTAAATTGTACTTTGCTCTTGAAAATAATAATGTGAAAGACTTAAGAGCTGAACTGTTGCTTTCTGGTATTTTTTCTGTTGATAGTAATTACGGACACTGACATATTCAACACCCTTCCTATATGGCAGAAAGCCCAGAACAGAATATTTTCCAGTGCAGTTATTTACTTTATTAAGCTTGAACAGAAACTACTATGCTGTTTGCTGTGGCCTAACTTCATTTTACACGGGAGTCTCTATTTGCAGTAGGTCTGTATTTGTAAAATAGTTGGAACACCTTGACTTGATTACTTCAGAAACACTTACTGCAGTGGAAACACAATTCAGAAAAGCCTTTATTATTACTTGTCCAATTGTTCAAGATTTTAACTTGTAAAATTACTGCAGTGGTTCGGAAGTAGGTAGATAAATTTATTGAATATCTTCAAGCTTTCTATCATAGTGGCATAAATTTGATTATATAAAAAGTTACACTAATTAGTCTATGAACCCTACAGGCCGCTTTAAATAAACTCTCCATTTGGTTCTTTTTCCTATGACCCCAAATAGGCTTAAAGTAACTTTTTTACCAAACCAGAGTGTGTCCTCTGGACAGTCTGTCATTGAGACAAAATTGTCAGACAGCTGTGTAAATCTCCCTTGATTATATTTTAGGAAAGAAACATTTCAATTCACTTTTGGTCTTATAAAATAATATGTGCAGAACACGTGTAATCTGTGAAGACATTTAGATGCAGCTTTGTGTTTTTCTGACAAAGCTCAAGTTTTGTTTTAATGTGGAAAATGCATCCCTAATTAGTATAGATTATGACACTACCACCACAACCACCACTGGTTTTGATTGGGGTAGGGGGGATAGTTCTTTTACCAGGTTAAAGTATTTTGTTTGCGGATACACTAGTGGATATACTTTTGGATGAAAGTCAAGGGAAAGACTGACTTTTACTGGTGTAAGTTGCATCCCTAGTAGAGGAATTCCTTTTTCAATGCAGGGAAATCCTAAGGCTAACTGTTACTAAGCTGAAACATATTTTGGCCTTTCTTTTGTTTCTTTTGGTGGATTTGGTGATGGGTTGTGGCTTTTGCGGGGTTGGGGTTTTTTTGACATGGGGAGGGGGTTGCTTTCTGTGGGTTTGTTTTGGAGGTAGTGGCTTTTGTTTGGTTTGGGGGGTTGGGTTTTTTGTTGTTGTTTTGGTTTGGGTTTTTTTTTGTTTTGTTTGTTTGGGATTTTTTTGCAAAACATGTATTTAACTTCTAAAATGTTACGAAGTTTCCATGCTATAATGGCTGCAAGTATCTTAGGAAATGCTGAAACAAGTTTTAAGTAAAACTGTAGCGTTAAAGTATACATGTCTATATTTCTGAATCCTGGGGAGTATTTGGATAAACATTTAGTTGCGTTCTGTAGGGAATCTCTTATCCATATTAAAAGTAAATGGAGTATTTTCATACTAAAATAACAAGTTGTTAAAAATTGTAGGTGCAACATCATAGCAGTAACTTTTTTGGGTGGTTGGAATATAGGGGAAACTGGTTGCCAGCTACTCCGGATAGATTTGTGGAATCACTTCTGCTTTACACATGCAAGCTGTACGCTGCTGAATTTGGAATGAATTGCTGCTGAACTGGCAAGATTAAATGGGATCATTTGGAATTGTGATTTTCCTGCTTAGCATGTTAGTTTTCCTTTTAGTGATTGGGCTGAGAGAAAAGGTCTCACAGGAAAAACTACCCATTGATCCAGTTTTCAAAAGTAACACCATTATGCTGGTTTTAATTTGTTTTCTGAGAGAAGCACTTGCAGCAGTAGCAGGTTTTTTTTTTACTTTTTGTTCTTTGGTCCAATTGTTTTTGACACCTAAAGAGGGACAACTTTTCACCTTTTCTTTTGTAAATAGGTGACAATAGAGTAAGAATGATTGGATAGCTTTCAGAAGAATAATTATAAATCTTTTGGGTTTTCCTGAGTGTTTTCCTAGAAGCGGTCGCTTTTGTTCAACACTTCAGCAGAATCTTTTCCTTTTGTGTAACTATATGAACCGTATCATATACTTAGAAAGTATGCATTTTACTTTTTTCCCTTCTTTATTGCTTTAAGTACAAAATTCTTTGCGTAGTTATTGAAATGTGTTCTATAGGGTTTGTGGGGGGGAAGAGAAGAAGGCAAAACCCAAAGTTTTTCAGATGGAAATGGAGGAAAGAATGCATTCTCCATACAGCAAAGAATTTATTATTGCATGTTTAAAAACATCTTTACTAGAATGACAGTATTTTTATATAGAATCATTATGGTTGGAAGAGACCTCAAAGATCATCAAGTCCAACGGTATACCTGATGCCACCATGTCTACTAAACCATGTCTTGAAGTACCACATCTAAACATTTTTTGAACACCTCCAGGGACGATGACTCTACCACCTCCCTGGGGAGCCCATTCCAATGCCTAACAACTCTAACAGTGAAGAAGTTCTTTCTAATGCCGAGCCTGAAAATACGAAGTTTGGGAGATGTCTTTACCAATTCAGATATGTAGCACTTGATATCAAGTATTCTGTAATCCAACTGTGCAGGTATGTCACTTCAATAAGATACTGGAAAAGAAGACTTACTAAATGCACTTTAAGTAGTTAGGCACAAACATCAAACAGTCTGACTTCGAAATTGTGATTTGAATGTATCTAGTGATCAGTTAGGTGGAGAAATGTATATCAGTTCTGAAATGAAGGTGGTACTTTTTATTAAATGGACTTCCAATCTTTGCATGAGCGAAGCAAAAATCGTCAACATTTTCTGAATGACTGGAAGAATGTTTTTTTTCCAACTCTCGTTAATATTGTGTTCAGTTTCATAGGTCATTCTTCCCTATTTAATCCCAGTTAACTTTGAAGTTTACTGTTTCTGCTGTTTACAAGCATTTCCAGTTTTGGTGAATCAAGTCTGAGAAGTCCACTTCCCAAGGCTCTTAAACTATGACAAAATACATGCCATTCCTGCCTCAGATGAAACGACCAGCTTATTTCCTTAATCAAAATTCTGTGTACTCCTTTGTTCATGTGGAGGTCTAGAAATTAATTTTTCTTTCTAGCGTGTACTGTTAGGGGAGAAACTCCTCTTGAAAAAGAGCCTGCCTAGAACTGTGGGTACCCCTGAAATATACTGGAGTATTTATACCATTTGTAACACTTTTATGTTTAGATTACAAGC